GAGCAGTTATCTATGAGTCACTTAGCCTCTCTGAATATTGGTATCCCCAACTGTCAAATAGGAAACAGATTTGTCACTGCTTCAAAAACTGCTGGCCTGGCTCCAGTAGCTCATTCTTGTAATCCTAGCTACTCAAGAGGCTGAGATCTGAGGACTGGGGTTCAAAGCTAGCCTGGGCAGGAAAGTCTGGGAGACTTTTATTTCCAATTAATCAGCAAAATGCCAGAAGTGGAGCTATGGTGAAATGGTAGAATGCCAGGCTTGAGGGCAACAAAAGCTCAGGGACAGACCCAGGCTCTGAGTTCAAGTCCTAGTACCAGTGTGGGAGGAGAGGAGCAAATTCAGAGCACACTCACTAGATTTCATGTCTGAAAGCCTTCAGCCTCAGCCTACCACCCCCACATTTCTCCCCCACTGCCTCTCTGCTGAGCTTCAAGTATAAGATGGGTTATTGGATGGACCACTTGCTTTAACAATAACTTTAATTCGGTCACTTAATTTAGGTAACTTAAGTGCTATCATCAGGAGGCTTCAACCAAAGACTCAAATTTGAAGTCTTAGAAATTCTCTCCCAAGGAAGCAATTCAATGTCTTATAGAAAACTATAGATTCCTACTAAACCAGAGAATGTTTTTAATTTATTTATTTTTAAATTATGATCATTATTATTTTGGTGCTGGTCCTGAGGCTCGAACTCTTGGCCTGTCCTTTTTGCTCAAGGCTAGCACTCTACCAGTTGAGCCACAGCTCCACTTCCACTTTTTGAGGATTAATTGGAGATAAGAGTCTCACGGGTTTTTCTACCTGGGCTGGTTTTGAACCACCATTCTCAGATCTCAGCCTCCTGAGTAGCTAGGATTACCAGCTAAACCAGAGAATCTTGTTCATTAGAAACATCCAGTTTAGGGTTGGGATGTAGCTCAGTGGCAAAGCGCTTGCCTAGCAAGTACAATGTCCTGGGTTCGATTCCCAGTACCAAAGAAGAAAAGACAAAAAAAAAAAAAAAATACAGTTAAAAAAAAAAAAAAACATCCAGTCTGAAGCAGTAGAAAGGAGATTGTTCTGGACTCTTTTTAACTCCTGCACCCAGCGTTATTTGCTTTGACTGACTGCCAAATCCTAAAGTTCATAAGTGGAGAAAGGGGCCCGGCATTCCTGGGGTTGGATTCCCAGAATTCTCCAGTTTAAGTCTCACTTCAAGGTCAGCTTCTCTCCATGGTGGTTTGGTTTTAGAGACAGCCTCTCTCTCTCTCTTTCTCTCTCTCTCCCTCCCTCTCTCTCTCTGCCTCAAAGAATGCTGGTTGATTTTGATGGTAGAATGTTGACCACCCACAGACTTGAACTTTGTATGAAAACTACCCTCCCCCATTCCCCCAGTCACCACTACAGGCATATCTGAGGCTCTCAGGATGAACAATTCCACAAGTTTTTAGGCAGCTGGGTTCTTAAGCCCATCATAAAATACACAAGAGCTGGTATTTCCTTCCTCCTTTTGAAAAATATTGCATTGCAATTAAATGTAAACATCAGTCTAGTTAATAGTAACTTACAATGACTTTGGAATTTAGTTTCTTTTTGTGTGTATGTGTGCCAGTACTGGGGCTTGAACTCAGGCCTTGGATACACTCTTTTATGGTTGTTGTTTTTTTTTTCCCTCAAAGCTTGTGTTCTAACACTTGAGTCACAACTCCACTTCTGGCTGGTGTGTGTATGTGTGTGTGTGTGTGTGTATGGTGTTGTTGTTGTTTTGTTGTTTGGCTGTTAGATGGAACTTAGAGTATCACAGACTTTCCTGCCTGGGCTGGATTTGAAATCTGATCCTTAGATCTCAGCCTCCTGAGTAGCTATGATTACAGGCATGTGCTACTAGCACCCAATTTGAAGTCCTACTCTCTTCAGCCATATTCAGAGTTTTCACTGTGTCCCATTGGGGTTTTGACTCCAAATTTCAAGAAGCCAGTTACTTTTGCTGGGCATCTGTGGATAATCCTGTCTACTCGGGAGGCTGAGATCTGAGGATTGTAGTCTGAGGCTAACTCAGGCAGATAAATATGAGGGACTCATTTCCAATTGACATAAAAGTCCTATCTCTTGGTCCTTCCTCTCATCTTCCCTTTGAACAGTCAGGCTCACCTCCCAGCTCCCCCCAATTCCCTGCCCCTCCCCCCAAACCACAGTTCCTTGGGGGACATTTCCCTTGAGAAACCCAATGTAGAACAAGTCTCTTGTTTCCAGATTTTCTTCGTCATAATTCCTCCTCCCCTCTTGGGGACAATTATCTCCATTTTTTAATTACATGATCATGAATGTAGTTATTTGATAAAGATCACCCTCCTTACTGGTCCCTAGGCTCCCTGAGAACAGAGGCTCACTCTTGAATCCCCAGGGTTTTTTTTTTTACCAGTATCATTCATTTATATTGAATGACTTCTCAGAGATGTAGTCATTGAAGGAGAAACACAGAAAACTAGGAATCCTAATTTTTGTGTGTACGCCAGTCCTGGGGTTTGAACTCAGAGCCTAGGCACTGTCCCTGAGGTTTTGTTGTTGTTTTTTTTTTTTGCTCAAGGCTAATGCCTACCACTTAAACCACAGTTCCACTTCTGGCATTTTTGCTGGTTAATTGGAGATTAATTGGAGTCTCATGGGCTCTCCTACCTGGGCAGGCTTTGAACTGAGATTCTCAGATTTCAGCCTCCTGAGTAACTAGGATTATAGGCATGAGCCATTGTACCCAGCCCAGGAATCCTGCTTTAAAATAATAATAATAATGAAGCTGAAGCCAAACATTTCCAAAACTTCTCAACAATATTACTCATCCAGCTCAACACACAAAGGATGGGATGCTCCATGCACAGAATTCAGAGGTAAACATCCATGTGACCAACATATCAACAAGCATATGACCTACAGTCATATGACTGAGGAGAAAGGTGAGCAGTGTTTGGAACCTTGAGGATGTGGTCAAAAGTCAGAGAAATGGCTCATGCCTGTAATCCTAGCTACTCAGGAGGCTTGAGGTCTGAGCACTGTGGTTCAAAGCCAGCCAAGGCAGGAAATTCTGCGAGACTCATCTCCAATTAACTTTCAAAAAAAGTCAGAAATAGAGCTGTAGCTCAAGTGGTAGAGTGCTGGCCTTAAGAAAAATGTTCAGGGGGGCTGGGAAGGTGGCTCAGTGGTAGAGCGCTTGCTTTGCATGCATGAGGCCCTGGGTTCGATTCCTGTGCACCACATAAGCAGAAAAAGCTGGAAGTGGTGTTGTGATTCAAGTGGTAGAGCACTAGCCTTGAGCTGAAGAGCTGAGGGACAGTGCCCAGGCCCAGAGTTCAGGCACCATGACTGGCAAAAAAAGAAAAAAGAAAAAGAAAAATGTTCAGGGACAACCTAGGCCCTGAATTCAAGCCCCAGGACCTGCACACACACAAGAAAAAAGTCAAAGAGGAAGTTGGGGAGGGAGCTTTGAGGCCTAGGGACAAATGTCAAATCACATGCTGTCTATTCCCAGATCTTACTCTGTCATTAGCCTCTCAGGTAGGTTGCGAGCCACAGTGAAATGGCCTTCCTTCAAGCAGTAATAACAGTTGACTATTATGGGATAGAGTTGGGAGTAAAATACTTCAGGAACTTGACAATCACAGGGAGCCTGACCTAGTACAGGACTCCTGAAAGAAGGGCAGAAAGCCCAAGAGTTAGAAATGCTCACTTCCTGTTGATTGGAGATAGACTGGTATTCAGCTGATTGACAACTGACTGATAACTGTGTGTGGACATCCACAGTCTTGTACTCTCTGGTTTTGGATTTCTCAGGCAGACTGAGAAACAGGGTATCAGAGACAGGCTTCAGTGTAGCTTTTCCTGCTATAAAGGAGACAAAATCTGACTCTCTGGGGAAGGTGGAAGAACAGTTCTTCCAGATGTCAATAGGGACTTTGCAGAAATGATTAAACTAAAGATCTTTAAATAAAGAGATTATCTAGGATTATCCAGATGAGCCAAACAGGAAGCGGAGGGAGGGAGCGAGGGGGGGGGGAAGAGAGAGAGAGAAAGATAAAGAGAGAGAGAGAAAGAGACAGAGAGACAGACCGACAGACAGAGACAGAGACAGAGACAGAGACAGACAGACAGAGACAGACTGGAAGATAGATGCTATGAGGCATATGAAGCTGGGCATCAGTGGCACATGCCTGTAATCTTAGCTAATCAGGAGGCTGAGTCCTGAGGATTACAGTTTGAAGCCAGTCTGGGCAGAAAAGTCTTCCAGACTTTTATCTTGAATTAAGCAGCAAAATGTCAGCATCGCTCAAGTAGTAGAGCACCAGCAAAGGAAAAGCAAGCAAGTGCAAGGCCCTGAGTTCAAGACCCAGTACTGGGTGGGGGTAAGGGGAGCTAGCTAGGATTATAGGCGTGAGCTCCCAGAACCCGACCTTTAATTATTTTTTGGACACAGTCTCTCTTGCTATAGACAGCGATTCTCCCATCTCCTTCTCCCAAGGAGATTACAGGAATACACCATGCTCGCATGTGGTTCTAACACATAAGACAGAGATCCTGTGTGCCCTTTGCCAAGTTCTTTGGGTGATAACATCTTGCAGAAACTGTCCTACAATGCCACCACTGGGAAAGTGACAAGGACAGAGTCAAGAGGCAGAATGTTCCTGTCACCAAGAATGCATGAGGGGTTCCCTCTGAGTTCTAAGTTTCCACACAAAAATCACAGGTCTTTCCTTGAGAACCACTCATGAAAAGCATTTCAGGGTATCTCACCTAAAGGAAGAGGGGAGACGAGAGAGAAAGAGAGGAGAGGAGGGAAAGTCAGGGCAGGGGTAGGGGAAAAGGAGAGGATCGATGCGATCGGCACTCCGACCACCAGGCATCGATCGACTGCACGGGTCTCATCGCGGCCCCGCCCCCGGACGCGGCCCCGCCCCCGGACGCGGCCCCGCCCCCGGACGCGGCCCCGCCCCCGGACGCGGCCCCGCCTTCCCCGCGCCTCCGGCGGGCCGGGCCTGAGCGAGCTTGGAGGCGACCGGAGGGAGCCCCAGACGCCATGTACCGGCTCCTGTCAGCGGCGACGGCGGGGGCCTCGGCCACTGGAGGCCGGGCCCAGTGCTGCGGGCGGCGCGGGACTCACCGGTGGGCTGGGCTGCCACCACTCAGCCACGGCTGGGTCGGGGGCCTGGGGCTGGGCCTGGGGCTGGCGTTGGGGGCGAAGCTGGCGGGCGCGCTGAAGGGCGCCGTCCCCGTTCCGCCTCCCGTGGACCCGGAGACGCCCCCTCAAGCCGAGTCCCCGCTGGAGCCGCCCTTAGCCACCGGGTGTCCGCAGGCCCGGGCCCCGCCCCCCTCCAGGTGCTTCGCCAAGGCCATTGCCAGCAGCCGCGACCTGCTACACAGGATCAAGGTGCGGGCGGACGACGCGGGGAAGGGAGGCGCCCCCGCCCCGCTCCGAGCGGAGCCCCTCGGTCTCTTGGGTCTGAACGGATCCCATCCAGGGTGGGGTGCGCAGGCTGTGGTACTTCTGAGAAGGACTTCCCATTTCCCGACTGCGGGGCCCGCTGTCACACCCTTGGGGTTGCCCAAGTCGGTTGAGGTCACCGTCTCGTAGCTGTGCTGCCCGGGGGCGCGCTTCTCGGAGACCCGCGGGGCGTGGCCTGAGCGAGAGTGGGCGTGGCCCCGAGTGCTGGGTGGGCGTGGTTAGGGGCGGGGCCACGCGGGCAGGGCGGCCCCCAGCTCAGAGCCTTTGAAGTATGGGGTTATGCGAGGTTATTAGGTTCTTATTCCTGTCATTTTTTGTTTGTTTGTTTGTTTTCGTGCCTAGGACTTGAACTCAGTGCTGCCTGGCCGCCCTCCCTGAGCTTCTTTGGCTCAAGGCTGCCACTGGAGCCACAGATTGTTTGACGATTTTTTTTTTAAAGTAATTTATTGGAGACTATAGTTTCCCAGACTTTCCTGGCCCCGGGCTGAGTTTGAATCTCAATCCTTAGATCTCAGGTTCTTCTGAGTAGATAGGATTTACAAGCATGAGCCACCGGCATCTTTTGCCTGTTTTTGATCTGTGTTCTTTTACATTTTGCTCTTAGGATGAGGTGGGTGCACCAGGCATAGTGGTTGGAGTTTCTGTAGATGGAAAAGAAGTCTGGTCAGAAGGTGAGCTCGGGAGAGGGATTTTAGTGACTTATTTTGTGATAGTTGACGTTTTGCTGGTTGAGTGAGTCCCATTGCTGTTGCATTTATATAAACCTAAAGAATGAAGAATCAGGTGTTACTATTATGGATAATGATAATAAAGTTTAAAATGTGGGACTAACAGGGATGAGAGAATAGCTTCGTGGTAGAGCCTTTGCTTAGTTAGCATCTTCAAGGCCTGGATTCAGTCCTTACCACCAAAAACAAAGAATTAAAAGTGACATAAAAAATGGAGTCTTGCCAGGCACTGGTGGCTCATACCTGTGATCCTAGCTACTAAAGAAGGTGAGATCTGAGGATTGCAGCTCAGTACCAGCTTAGGCAGGAAAGTCTGTGAGATTCTTGGCTCCAATTAACCACCAGAAAAACAGAAATCGTGCTGTGGCTCAAAGTGGTAGAGCACTAGCTTTGAGCAAAAGAGCTCAGGGACAACATCCAGCTGCAAGTTTAGGCCCCAGGACAGACAAAAAAAAAAATTGGCGTAAGACTGAATTTGTTGGTCTGAACATTTTATATAGAACCACCCATTAAATACATTATCACATATTGTAAATAATCCTTATGGATATCAAATTGGTCCAGTTGGCCACCCCAGATTTTTGGAGGATCCTACTTTTAGTAAATAACATGTCAAACATTATAAGAAAAATGCAGTGTTAGAAGTTGGTAGGAGCAGAAAGGTTTTGAAAAAAGAATTCTTTCCCTAAGTGTAAGTATAGACTAATCAATATAACTAAAATTTATATATATATTTTTAAATTTTTTGGTCAGTTGTAGGGCTTGAACTCAGGGCCTGGGTGCTGTCCCTGAGCTCTTTTGCTCAAGGCTAGTGCTCTACCACTTTGAACCACAGCATCACTTCCAGTTTCTGGTGGTTAATTGGAGAAAAGAGTCTCATGGACTTTCCTGACCAGTCTGACTTTGAACCATGATCCTCAGATCTCAGCCTTCTGAAGAGCTAGGATTGTAGGTGTGAGCCACCAGTGCCAGGCTTAAAACAACAACGTATAATCAAATGTTTAAAAATGTTACTTTCGTGGGTGAGGGTTTTATTTTTATTTTTATTATTTTATCTTTTTAACTTTTTTTTCCCTCCCAGTCCTGGGGCTTGAACTCAGAGCCTGGGCACTGTCTCTGAGCCACTTTGTGCTCAAGGCTAGTGCTCTACCACTTGAGTCACGGCGCCATTTCCAGCATTTTCTGAGTGTTTGTTGGACATAAGAGTCTCACAGACTTTGTTCAAGCTGGCTTTGAACCACAATCCTCAGATGTCAGCCTCTTGAGTAGCTAGGATTATAGGCATGAGCCACTGGCACCCAGCAAGGGTTTTATTTTTGGGAGGCTGGGAAGGTGGCTCAGTGGTAGAGCGCTTGCCTTGCATGCATGAGGCCCTGGGTTCGATTCCTCAGCACCACAGAAGCAAAAAGAAAAAAGCCAGAAGTGGCGCTGTGGCTCAGGTGGTAGAGCGTTAGCCTTGAGCTGAAGAGCTGAGGGACAGCACCCAGGCCCAGAGTTCAGGTCCACTACTGAACCCCCCCCCCAAAAAAAAGGGGTTTATTTTTGAAAAATATTTTTGCAGTTGAATTGAGGATGTGACTAATGAAATAGAGGACTTACTTTCCCAAGTTCTAACTCCAGTACCACCAGAATATATCTATGTAGGTATATGTATATATATGTATTCATATGTGTATATATTTGCATATTCATATATTCATTCATATATTCATAATCATTTACAACTTAAATCATTGGGAACCAGGTGTAGTAGCTCACAACTGGAATTTCAGCATTCAGGGCACTGATGGTGATTTTGAAGCCAGCCTGGACCACATACCTACTACACCCTGCCTCTCAAAAAAAAAAAGGCACCAAAGTCTCATGGCTGTAATCTTAGCTACTCAAGAGGCTGAGATCTGAGGATCATGTTTGGAAGCCAGCCAAGGCAGAGAAAGATCTGTACACACACACACACACACACACCCCTACACAACTAACTAAATAAATGAACAACAATTGTATTCACACCCCTACACAACTAACTAAATAAATGAACAACAATTGTATTCCCTTTCTTTTTTAGAATCTGTCTCTGATCTGATTTCACACTTTCACCCAATACAGGAGATGCAAATCAAAATTGTCTCTAGAGGCAGTTTTTTTTTTTGTTTTTTTTTTTTTGCCAGTCCTGAGGCTTGAACTCAGGGGCTGGGCACTATCCCTCAGCTTCTTTTGCTCAAGGCTAGCACTCTACCACTTGAGCCACAGCACTACTTCCAGCTTTTTCTGTTTATGTGGTACTGAGGAATCGAATCCAGGGCTTCAGGCATGCCAGGCAAGCACTTTATCACTAAGCCACATTCCCAGACTTCTAGAAGTAGCTTTTTAATAATAATAGAACATTGTGTTTCTTATGGTTTATAATTAATTTGATAGCCGGATTTCATTTGTAGGAGATCTTCCTACACACATTCTTATTGGGTTTTTTGTTGAAAGGAATTTAGTGGAAATTTGCTCAAAAATCAGTAATGAATACCATCTAAAGAATGATAATATTTTCTTTTCCTTCTTTTTTTTTCTTTTTTGGTGCCAGTCCTGGGGCTGTCTGGGCTACTCCAGACCTGGGTGCTGTTCCTGAGCTTGTTTGCTCAAGGCTAGCACTTTACCACTTGAGTCACAGTCCCACTTACAGCTTTTTTTGGCAGTTAACGGGAGATAAGAGTCTCATGGACTTTCCTTTTCTGGCTGGCTATAGATCATGATCCTCAGATCTCAACCTCTTGAGTAACTAGGCATGAACCACAGGCACCCAGCAATTGTGTTTTCTTTAAAGATTGTAATTGATTTAAAATGTGGAATAGCCAAATAAGGTAATCTGGGAAAAACTAAGGTTCAAATCACATGGAAAATTATTGTGTGTAGGATAAAGTTAGGCTTATGTTGTCTGTATACTGAGACTTTCATTCTTGTACATCCTGTTTTCCATAACATAAAAATCAGGGTGCATTTTCCTGTCAATAAATCTACATTATGTTTTCAGATGTTATTAATTCCATTTCTGAAGACTTTTTGACAATGAAGATGTTTTGCTTCATTTCCCCTGAAGGCTTAGGTTATGCAGATGTGGAGAACCGTGTGCCTTGTAAACCAGAGACAGTCATGAGAATTGCCAGCATCAGCAAAAGCCTCACCATGGTTGCTCTGGCCAAATTGTGGGAGGCTGGGAAGCTGGATCTTGATGTTCCAGTACAGCACTATGTCCCTGAGTTCCCAGAGAAAGAATATGAAGGTGAAAAGGTAATGAAACTCACACTTCATTTTTACTAATGACACATTAAATGCTTTATACTGGAGGTCAGATTTAGGATGCTTCGCAGGATTTTGTGGTTTGATTGCTTTGCAGTGACTGTGCTACTGGCTGGGCTAAGTACTTTTATCTCCAGATGATAATCTGCTATTCTCCTGAAAGAGGAGGGTAAGATTTCTTACAGGACATTTCTCTTACAGCCTTTTAAAATGCATAGTTAGTGAGACATTCCTCCAAAGGCCATTAACTTGTGACTATAGGGTTTACTATTGTAATTGTATTTTCATTTTTGACAATTAGGTTTCTGTCACAACAAGATTACTGATTTCCCATTTAAGTGGGATCCGTCACTATGAAAAGGACATTAAAAAGGTGAAGGAAGAGAAAGCTTATAAAGCCTTGAAGATGTTGAGAGAGACCATGTCATCCGACCAAGAAAAAGACTTGAAGGGAAAAGGAGAGAAAAATAATGAAAAGCAAGACTGTGCTAAGACTAAAACTGAGCAGGATAATGAAGCCAAATACCGGAATGCAAAACCTTGCAAGAAAAAAAATGATTTTGAACAAGGCGAATTATATTTGAAGGAAAAGTTTGAAAATTCAATTGAATCCCTAAGATTATTTAAAAACGATCCTTTATTCTTTAAACCTGGTGAGTATTAACACCTTCTCTTAGTGACGTCATTACTGGAGAGTTCCTTTTCAGGAGTCCCAAAATGATAGAATAGGGAGCGCCTTCAGAGAGGTAGATGGGCCACTGGAAAGTGGGCCACTCTGATACCTGCCTTTCTGTCTGCTTAGATTGAGTCTCATGGAAGGCCACTGAGTTACTTGAGGATTCTCAGGACCAAAATATTCATGAAAAATTGTGGAGAAGGTTGGAATGATACCTCTCCATATAAAGCCTGGGACCAAAGTTAGAAAGGATGAAGTATCACTAATATTCTCATGTGTAGTTAGAATTTAAATTGCTCAACTTCATTCTTGCTAGTGTTCATCAACTTAATTTCCAAACAATGATAATCTGTATAATAAATACCATCTTTTTATTTCTCCCTTTCTGATATTGGGCTTCAACTTGGCTAGTACTCTACTACTTGTGCCACACCTCCAGACTAGCTTTTTTTCTGGTTAATTGGAGAGGGAGTCTTTCAGACTTTTCTGCCCAGGCTTTCTTCAAACCTTAATCCTCTGTTTCTCAGTCTCCTAAATAACTAAGATTATAGATGTTAGCGCCTGGCACCTGGCTAAAATATTATCTTTTCATTTAATTTTTTGGCAATACTGTGGTTTGAACTCAGGGATCTGTGAGTACTAGCCAGGCACCCTGCCTCATTTGAGTCACATTCTGGCCTTGAATTCTTGATCATCCTGCCTCAGCCTCCTGAGTACTAGGAGGAGTGCCACCATGCCTGACTCTATCTTTGTTTTTATGATGTTTATTGAAACTACTTTATACCATTATGTTACTACGCTATATGCACTGATTTTTGTTGTTGTTGTTGGTTTGGGTTTTTTATTTTTATTTTTGGTTCATGAGGCTTGAACTCAGGGACTGGGAGGTGCCTCTGAGCTTTTTTGCTCAAAGCTAGCACTATTACCACTTTGAGCCACAGCTCAAAGTGGCTAATTGGAGATAAGAATCTCATAGGGACTTTTCTGCCCAGGCTGGCTTCCAACCTCAATCCTCAGATCTCAGCCTCCTGAGTAGCTAGGATTACAGTTCTGAGTCACTAGTGCCCAGCATTGGGTGTGTAGATGTGGGTGTGGGTGTTAGGCTTGAACTCAGGGCCTGGATCAGTCCCTGAGGGTTTTTGCTCAAGAGTAGCGCTCTACCATTTGAGCCACATCTCCACTTAGGGCTTTTGGTGATTAATTGGAGATAAAAATCTCACAGGCTTTCCTGCCCTCACTGCCTTTGAACTGTGATTCTCAGATCTCAGTCTTCTGAATAGCTAGGATTATAGGTGTGAGCCACTGTCACACCATGGTCTATGTACTTTTATTCCAGTTTCATTTTGAATGTTTTTTTTTTTTTTACTGTGAATAGATGTACAGATATAACTAATAAAGGTAAATAAAATGTAATTATGTATTTTGTCTTTAAAAATTAGGTTTCCACTTTTAAAATTTTTTTATAGGTCAAAATTTTTAAGCTCTCAGAACCCAAAGTGATCTAATGTCATATACTTGAAACTACATTTTTATATATATAGATAGTACATTTGCCTTTATGTATTTGAAAGAAACCTTTAATGCCTACATATGCTTAATAAAATAAGAATTTGTACACCTATTTCTACCTTTCTACCCAGTAGGTGACAGTTCATCAAAGAAATCATATTTGCTTCTCCCACCATTTTTTTTTTTTTTTTTTTTGGTCAGTGGTAGGGCCTGAACTCTGGGCCTGGGTGCTTTCCCTCAGCTCTTCAACTCGAGGCTAGTGCTCTATCACTTGAGTCACAGCGCCACTTCCAGCTTTTTCTGCTTATGTGGTGGTGAGGAATCAAACCCAGGGCCTCATGCATGCAAGGCAAGCAGTCTACCACTGAGCCACCTTCCCAGCCCTCCCACCATTCCTTTTTGATTGACAGCATGAAGGATTTTTGTTTTCTTTCATGGTCAGTCTTAGACTTAAGGAACAGATTTGTTTGAAAATCTAAGTCTGCATACTGACTATTATTTTTATCCTTGCAGCAAGGAAATAGAGTACAAAGCTAACTCAATTTGTTGATATAGTAGCTATGGTCTCCTCAATGTTGAAGTATAAAGTATTATAGTTTTAAAGGTATGCCTATTTGCAAAGTAAAGTATTTTGCATCTTTTTAAATACTAATCAAGCATTTTTTTCTTCCCATCCCCTTTACAATGATGTCTCAAGGTAGTCAGTTTTTGTATTCAACTTTTGGCTATACCCTCCTGGCAGCCATAGTAGAAAGAGCTTCAGGATATAAATATTTGGACTATATGCAGAAAATATTCCATGACTTGGATATGCTGACAACTGTGCAAGAAGAAAATGAGCCTGTGATTTACAATAGAGCAAGGTAAACCAGTCCCTCTGCTGTGTCTAGCTTTCAAGCCCAACACTGCCCTTGTCCATTGAAAATCAGATTTACCTTGTCTCCATGTCAACGTCAACTTGCTGTAATGCGCAAGCTTCTCTCCATGTCTTTGTGTGTTTGTAAAGCACCCCAGATGCTCAGGTAAACAATCACCAGAGTAACCACTCATCAGTTACTAAACCAGGCTTACAGCTCACATGTGTGCCTGCAGTGTGCTCCTACTCATCCCTTCTCTTTCCCTCAGCTCATTTCGTCTTTTGATTTGAGATGTTTATTTGGGGATAATTTCATTCTTGGAGGAAAGCTGGAATAATATCGAAGAGTTCACATCTACCCCGCACCCAGATTCTCCTGTGTCAGGTCACTACACACTTGTGTCCTCTCTCTCTCTCTCTCTTTCTCTCTCTCTCTTTCCCTCCCCTCTTTCTTTTCTCTCTCCTCTCTTCTCTCCTCTCTTCTCTCTCTTTCTCTCTTTGAAATCAAAGGTTCAGACTTGCTATCCATTCCTAATAAATACTTTTACCTTCTAAAAAATCACGAGTACATTCAACAAACTGATATTGACATAATCTTTTGCAGACTTTATTCCAATTTTGCCAATTGTCCCAACGATGTCCTGATGTCCTTCATAGAAAAGAAAAAAGAAAAATCCAGTCTACACTATGGGGTCCCTACTCCATTTAGTTGTCACAGCTTTTTCAGTTGGCTCATCATTGGTGATTGTATTTTGTGGCTTTGTTGGAATAGGGCCTGTCTGCTTGCTTTACCGTAAACTTTTTTCTTTTCCTTATTAGCAAGTGTATTTTGGGGAGATGCCATGTAAAAACTCCTGCTTCTCATCAAGCTTGATGACTAATGACTGAATCAGTTGTTACAATATAGAAATGGTGGCCCGATGGTGACTTCCTCGTTCCATTATATTTTCTCTATTTATTCTAGGAAGTCCTTTGTCTTTTGTGTTTATTTGTTCATTCCAGTATGTACTTCTGGATTATTATTTTAGTCAATGAACTATAATCTGCCACTGCCATTCTTTAGTATCTTGCTATTGAAATAATAAGCATATAAAACACTAAAAGAAAACTAAGTGGTTATTAGATTGCTTACACATAGGTACATATTTTTATTTTCTTTTTTTTGTGTGTTTTGAAACAAGGTCTCCCTACAGAACCCCAGCTGTCCCCAAACTCAAAATCATCCTGCCTCAGCCTCCCAAGTGCTAAGATTATAGGCATGGACTACCATACCCAGCTTTTTTTCTTTTTCTTTTTTAAAAAATCCATCCTGGAGCTTGAACTCAGGGTCTAGGTGCTGTCCCTGAGCTCTTTTGCTCAAGGCTAGTGATCTACCACTTTGAGCCACAGCTCTACTTCTGGTTTTTCTGGTGGTTAATTGGAGTCACACATAACTTTCCTGCCCTGGCTGGCTTTGAATCACGATCCTCAGGTATCAGCCTCCTTAGTAGCTAGTATTACAGGCATGCGCCACCAGGGCCTGACTTCTAATCAACACTTTTTGTTGTTGTTGTTGGTCATGGGACCTGAACTCTGGGCCTGGACGCTGTCCCTCAGCTCTTCAGCTCAAGACTAGCACTCTACCACTTGAGTCACAGCACCACCTCTGGCCTTTTCTGTTTATGTGGTGCTGAGGCATCAAACCCAGGGCCTCATGCATGCAAGGCAAGCACTCTACCACTGAGCCACCTTCCCAGCCCTAATCAGCACATTATTGTTTGTTTTTGCCAATCCCGGGGCTTAAACTCAGGGCCTGAGCACTGTCCCTGAGCTTCTCTGTACTCAAGGCTAGTGCTCTACCACTTGAGCCACAGCACCACTTCCAGCTTTTTCTGTTTATGTGGTACTGAGGAATCAAACCCAGGGCTTCATACATGCTAGGCAAGCACTCTATATTTAAGCCACATTCCCAGCCCTCAGCATATATATATATATATTTTTTTTTTTTTTTGGGGGGGGTCCGGTTGTGGGACCTGAACTCTGGGCCTGGACGCTGTCCCTCAGCTCTTCAGCTCAAGGCTAGCGCTCTACCACTTGAGCCACAGCGCCACTTCTGGCTTTTTTTCTTTTTGCTTATGTGGTGCTGAGGAATCGAACCCAGGGCCTCTTCCATGCAAGGCAAGCGCTCTACCACTGAGCCACCTTCCCAGCCCCTCAGCATATATTTTTTTTTTTTTTTTTTTTTTTTTTTTTTAGCTTTTTTCTTTTTTTTATTTTTTATTTTATTTTTTTTATTGTAAAGCTACTATACAGAGGGTCACAGTTACATGAGTGAGGTTATGAGTACACTTCCTCTTGAACATTGTTACCCCCTCCATTGTTTTCCCCCTACCATCCCCTCCCTCCCTCCCTTCCCCGAGGTTCTTTTTTTTTTTTTTTTGATTGTGATTAAATGATTACATAATTTCAAAGTCACAAGTTCATTCTAACTTCCCTGGAGCAAATTGTCTACCACAGTCTGTAATATATAACAGTGTTCACATGTTATATACCATATTTGTGATCAGCAGCATGAGGATATTTAGTAGTGGTTCAACCAGATGAGCGGGAGTTCTTTGTTTCTTAAGTCCTGTTAGTTTTGTCGTATCACTAACCTTTTGGATTTAGCATCCACTTATGAGGGAGACCATGTACCGTTTGTCTCTTCGTTCTTGGCTTACCTCGCTCAACATGATTCCTTCTAGCTCCATCCATTTCCCTGCAAATGCCATTATTTTGTCATTTCTAATGGCTGCATAATATTCCCTTGTGTATAGATACCACAATTTTTGGATCCATTCATCTGTGGTGGGGCACCTAGGTTGTTTCCATATCCTATCAGCATATATTTTTAATCAGAGTTTGGTATTTGATTTTTTTACATGTTCATAAAGAACATTAAAATACTCTTCTGGTTTGGATTATGTAGACTTCTGCTGCTGCTGCTGCTGCTGCTGCTGCTTTTTTTTTTTTTGTCGGTCATGGGGCCTGAACTCTGGGCCTGGGTGCTGTCCCTCAGCTCTTCAGCTGAAGGGTAGCACTCTACCACTTGCACGTCAGCCCCACTTCCAGCTTTTTCTGCTTATGTGATAGGAATCGAACCCAGGGCCTCATGCATACAAGGCAAGCACTCTACCACTGAACCACCTTCCTGGCCCCCACCCCTGCTTCTTGTTTTTTGACAAAATGACAAAATTTTTTATGTGTTCTAAAAATAATACTAAATAATTAACTATTTAAAATATATCTAGATTTAAGAACTGTTTTATAGGGCTGGGAAGGTGGCTCAATGGTAGAGTGCTTGCCTCGCATGCATGAGGCTCTAGGTTTGATTTCTCAACATCACATAAACAGAAAAAGCTGAAAGTGGCACTGTGGCTCATGTGGTAAGGTGCTAGCCTTGAGCTGAAGAGCTGAAGGACAGTGTCCAGGCCCAGAGTTCAAGCTCCACGACCGACCAAAAAAAGAAAAAAAAAAAGAACTGTTTTATAATTAGGAATCCTTAGGCACCATATTATTATAAAAATTAATATTTAAGGGCTGGGAAGGTGGCTCAGTGGTAGAGCGCTTGCCTTGCATGCATGAGGCCCTGGGTTCGATTCCTCAGCACTGCATAAGCAAAAAGAAAAAAGCCAGAAGTGGCGCTGTGGCTCAGGTGGTAGAGCGCTGGCCTTGAGCTGAAATGCTGAGGGACAGTGCCCAGGCCCAGAGTTCAGCCCCAAGACCGGACCAAAAAAAAAATTAATATTTAAACCATAGTTTCTCTGAGTGTTCTTTGTGGTAGCAGTGGGCATCAGACCAGGATCTTGGCCTGCTAGGCAAGCCTCTACCACTTGAGCCACACCCAGCCCTTTTGTTTGTGTTTGGATACAGCTGGACACAGTGTTAACAAATGGAGTAAAGATTCAACTTCTGTTTCTTCAAAGTTATTTGGAGATTGTTTTGTTTTGAGACATAGTCTTGCTATGTAACCCAGACTAGTGTTGAGCTCTTGATCCTCTTGGATCAGTTTCTCCAGGGCTGGGATTACAGATGTGTGCCACCAGGCAGGGTTCTTATTTGAAGGTTTTTAATTCAGGAAGAATACCAATGAAAGGGCAATTGTGTCAGATCTTGGGAACTTGATAAATAACTTTATTAATTAGTCAGTTTGGTTATTACTTGACTGTTAGGTTAAAATTATTGTTTGTTAGGTATGTTCTTTTCTGTTGTTTTTTTTTTCTTTTCATACCTTTTTCTTCGTAGTATGGCTACAGTTACTGAGTTGAGTGGGTTACCAGCATTTCTTTTTAATATACTTTAGTACATGGCATGAAGCAAGACTAGAAAGTTTCAAGGTAAAGGTTAGATTACTATAGCAAAAGACAGCAAAATAGAGTGACTGGGAAAAACTAGAAGTTCAGTTGTCCCATATAACATTTCCTAGGTGAGCAGTTCCGACTGGGGACAAGGCTGCTGTACACAAGGCTCTGAGGACCTATAGGCTTTAGTCTTAGTGTTCCTCTCTTCCAAGTAGTATTCCCCTCTGCAAGGTAGAAGTTAGATGACAGCCACTGGAGCTAGATGGCCCCTTCATGGTGTGGAGGAGCATGCACACAGCCTGAGCACCAGACCCAAGGTGCACTCCACTCTGTCCTGTTGGCAAAAACTTAGCAGAACAGAGGCCAAGGTATGTGTCTTGCTATCTAATTGTACTATTAAGGAAGAAGAGAAACATTTGAGAAACATCTATTCAACCAGCTATTTCAAACATCTATTTTAAGAAACATCTATTTAACCAGCTGTCTGTGTTACTGTATTATTTCATAAAACTTACATTCCTCATGTGTGTGTGTGTGTGTATGTGTGTATGTGTGTGTGTGTGTGTGTGTGTGTTTTCAGAGTTCTGTGTTCATTTGGTCAAAATGAGAAATATACTCCTTATACTAAGTTGAGGTTAAAAAAAGTTTGAAAGTTACTCAATGAACTATATCAATCAAAATTTGGTTATGATGTTTGTTAGTAACTTGAAAAAGGGGCTTTGGCTAATTGCTGGGTTTTATTGTTGTGATATTTTCTGTTTTATTTTTATTTGATTTCTTAGAAAGTGCACTTTTAACAAACCAACTGCTAGTTTTCCCTGGCGTAGTTCCATTCTACATGCTTTCCAAGTGCCTAAATGGCAGATACTGTGAAGAGACATATGAAATGATGGTTTTTGTTTCTTTTTTTTTTAAAAGCTTTATGTTCCTATGTCCACATTAGTCCTATTCAGCTTTCTATTTAGCTAAATTATCATTACAAATTACTAGCTTATTTAAAAGATTAAATATGCATTGTAAATTAGTCTATGGCTTGAAAGAGACTTGAGGGAGACCCAGTGGGAATTAGGTCAGCATCAAGCAATGCATTTTAATTCTTTAGGAAGGCTTGTTTTTCTTAATCATTTCAGATTCTGTGTGTGTGTGTGTATGTGTGTGTTGAAAATAGTGTTACCTGATTATTATTTTTAGATTTAACATATTCTAGTGGCAATCATAAAAATGGAGAAATACAATGCCAGAGGTTGCCCATTGAGTGTGAGATGTGTTGGGCATAGCTGAGATTTTTCTTCTTTTTCACGTGTGTGTGTGTGTGTGTGTGTGTGTGTGTGTGTGTGTGTGTGTGTTTAGTATAGTGCCATCAACTGAGATGAAGGCATTTGAACATCTAGATCTACTGAGGAAGACACTGGATATGCTGAGCCTCATGTCTAACACAAAGATTAAGGCTCTGAATGCAGACTGTGGAACAGCTATCTTCTGCTGCTTCTTTATAAGTCACTTGCAAAAAAGAAAAACATGGTGGCAAGTTAACTTTGTATTGGTTCTCATTCCTTAAAAAGAAAAGACAATGAGTTTCCATTTCTAGTGTGAAAGGATCCCATTTACTTAGAGGTTTGTTTGGTTTGTTGGTTGGTTTTTGATAGAACCCAATGCTTCCAAGGTGGTTGTTGATTCATTTTAGTTAAATGCTCTGCTGAAGTAAAATAAAACCATAAAGAAGGATATATTGTTTTGCCCACTTGCTTTTTTTTTTTGATTCAGTGTCTATTTGGACCACCATTGTCTATTTTTTTTTTGTAACAGCAATTTATTTTTTATTTTTTTATTTTTTGTTGGTCATGGGGCCTGAACTCTGGGCCTGGGCGCTGTCCCTCAGCTCTTCAGTTCAAGGCTAGTGCTCTACCACTTGAACCACAGAACCACTTCCAGCTTTTTCTGCTTATGTGGTGCTGAGGAATCGAACCCAGGGCCCTATGCATACAAGGCAAGCATTCTACCACTGAGCCACTTTCCCAGCTCAGGAAGTCAATCTTTTAAGAGATAAGAACCTTAAACAAAAAACCTTAAAGTAGGCTGGAAGTATGGTTCAAGTAGTAGAATGTATGCCTTGAGCAAAAAGGCTGAGCAAGAACATGAACATATATATGTATGTATGTTTAGAATAGTGCCAGTTAAGGCTGGATATCTGTAATCCTAGTACTTGGAAGGTGAAGGCCAGAATCTCCCATGTTCAAGACCAGCCTAGGCTACACAGGAAATTCGAGGCTAACTTGGACTACAAAGTGAGGCCTGTGTCAAGAAATAAGTAGCTGGGTGCAATGGCTTGCATTTATAATCTCAGCTATTTGGGATGTAAAGATCAGAAAGATCATCTTAAGCAAAAAACTAGCAAGACTGCATTTTAATAAGCCAGGCATAGTGCCCACGCCTGTATAGGCAACTACATGCGAGGCCACAGGTAGGAAGACCGAGGTTTAAGACCTGGAAACTATAAGAGATCCTACTGAAAAATAACTAAGGAAACAAAGACTGGAGGGGTGGCTTACGTGCTTGCCTAGAAAGCATAGGCTCTTAAGTTCAAGACCTAGTACTGCCCCCAAATAAAATCTAGTGGCTGTCAGCAGGGCTGCAGGGACAAACCAGGGAAGGATTGCAGAGGGAACTAGAAATGCCTGTTGACAACAACGGGACTGCTGTGCAGTAATTGTGGGGAAGATGGTAGATCATAAGGGGTTGAAGAGCCAATGCATGGAGGAGCAGATGTGTACTATGGGGTGCTATTCAGCAGGTAAGGAGACAGGACACTGGTAGGTAGAAACTGTGACCTATTGAGGCAACTGTAGTCTTTTGTGAACTGGGGTAATGGAATGGGCATTCTTAGCACATCCCAGGAAGTTCAACCATAGCTAAAGTAGTTGAAATTGCTGGGATACAGTTCAGGCTAAAACAAACAAAGGTAAAATGAGCCAGAATAGGAAGATGTTAGAGTAGAGGAAAGAAAATAAATGGGAGGGTACAATAGGGGATAGAGCACAGGGTTGATTGGGAGCCATAGTCATGAGCAGAAACTTCTGGAGTTTGAGATGTTAGGAGTCAGATCATTTTAAAGTCATAGTGAGATTCAAGTGGGAGAGAGCATGGGAGAGAGAAGCTCAAAGGAGATTGCAAATCAATGGAGGGAGGCAGTCAGCAAACTCAAAGCCTAGGAGCAACAGTTCATTATGACTTGAAAGAACAGGCCCACAGGAGGGAAGCTTATTGCTTGTTCGGTTATCTGTGATTTCATTGTGCCTGTAGTAGAATAGAAACCCCATTAGGCCAGCGACTTTGTCTCTCCTCAACTCTGTTCCAGCATCAAAGCAATCCCTAGCATATAGTAAGGGATCCATTGAGAATGTGAGATACTTCAGTAAGAAACAAATCATTTACTTATAAAGCACCTGCCAGAAACCAGGCACTGGTGGCTCACACCTGTAACCCTAGCTATTCAGGAGGTTGAGATCTGAGGATCATGTTTCAAAGTGAGCTGGAGCAGCAACGTTTAAGAGACCCTATCTCCATTTAATCAGTAAAAAGTGGAGCTTGTGGCTCAAGTGGTAGCGTGCCAGCCCTGAGGCAAAAAAAAAAAAAGGAGGGGGACAATGCCTAGGCCCTAAGTTAAAGTTCCTGCACTGTGCGCGCGCGTGTACACACACACACACACACAAATGTTAATTAAAGCACACACATGCACACACTCACAATGTTAATTAAAGCACCTGTCAACAATGTGCAATGTTTTATATACATATTCCAAACGCTGCAATACAGGTGTTTTGATTCCTAGATCACAAACTAAAGTGACTAAGATGCTGAGACACACGCAGCATAGGATAGCCATCACTGGCTGTCTGGATTCGATCCCCAAACCCTGTTATTCCCAAGCTGTATGATTTTTTTTTTGCCAGTCATGGGGCTTGAATTCAGAGCCTGGGCACTGTCCCTGACCTTCTTTTGCTCAAGGCTAGCACTCTACCACTTGAGCCACAGCACCATTTTTGGCTTTTTCTGTGTATGTGGTACTGAGGAATCAAACCCAAGGCTTCATCCATGCTAGGCAAGCACTCTACCACTGAGCCACATTTCCAGCCCCTGTGTGACTTTATCATTTGTCAAGTAAGCATGTCCAATAATGCTATAAGAATGGACGAGGTCATGTTAAAACAGTGCCTGATGTATAATAAGAACTATATGAAAATATTTGTCAAATAAAATAAGCATAGTAGTAAGAGTGTCTGGGATTCAAACTGACTTAAACACCATCAAGAAAGTACCATGTTCCAATGGTTCTACATGAAGTTGGAAATTTAGTCTTTCATATATATATGTATATGTATATGTGTATATATATGTATAATTTTGTTTTGCCAGTTCTGGGGCTTGAACTCAGGGCCTGAGCACTGTCCCTGAGCTTCTTTTGCTCAAGGATGGCATTCTACCACTTGAGCCACAATGCCACTTCCAGCTTTTTCTATTTCTGTGGTACTAAGGAATCAAACCCAGGGCTTCACGCATGCTAGGCAAGCACTCTACCACTAAGCCACATTCCTAGCCCCAAATAATCTTGTTTCTAAACATTACATGGCTGTAGTTATGAAATTCACTTGTGGCTCTGACTCAACTTTAAGTCCAAGGGCTAGGAATAGCTACCAACTGATAAATGTTTCCTGTCCATACACAGAACACATGTGTAATGAGAAAGCTGTACCCTAGAAAAATAGTTTCTATACTGTAGTTCACAGATTACCCAGCAGTCTGTCTCATTAGGTTATTTGTGCTGAATGTATTATCATTACATTGAGACGCAACTTGTCTTCTGTATACATTTTTCCTAGTTGTAAGTCAAGAATCGACTACTGAACTTTTAATGACCATTCTTATTTCATTTTAGATTTTATGTTTACAATAAGAAGAGACGTCTTATCAACACGCCTTACGTGGATAACTCCTATAAGTGGGCTGGTGGTGGATTTCTGTCCACAGTGGGTGACATGCTAAAATTTGGGAATGCAATGCTGTACGGTTACCAGGTCAGGCTGTTTAAGAACACCAATGAAAACCTCTTACCTGGATATCTCAAGCCAGAAACAATGGTTATGATGTGGACACCAGTCCCTAACACAGAAATGTCTTGGGATAAAGAGGGTCAATATGCAATGGCATGGGGCGTTGTGGAGAAGAAGCAGACATATGGCTCTTGTAGAAAGCAGCGGCATTATGCCTCACATACTGGCGGTGCAGTGGGGGCCAGCAGCGTCCTCCTGATCCTGCCTGAAGAACTGGATACGGAGGCCTTGAGTGACAAGGTTCCCCCACGAGGGGTGATTGTTTCTATCATCTGTAACATGCAGTCTGTTGGCCTAAACAGCACGGCCCTGAAGATTGCCCTGGAATTTGATAAAGACCGATTTGACTGTTAACAAACACTGACCTTCCAAGATACATGGAATTCTTAAGTTTTTAATAGAGTAAAATACTGAGAATTATGTACTTCTAATTGCTTAATTGTGTAACTATTTTAGAATGAGTTCTTTACACTCAGGGAAGTAACCTATTATTTCTACTTTTTTCAAAGTGTAAGCTCTTGAAATAAAATATTCTGATAGAAATGTAGTATTTGAATATGTAATAGAGAAAAATCACATTCCACAAGAGCCTCTACATAATATGACAGCAGAAAACAAGATCATGAGGAATTGTGTTGCTGTGTGTATGGCAGCCAAGAGAACAGCACTTATACCACCTCAGCACCTGAGGCTCAGGGATGGAGAAAGAATGGGGAAGATGGTCCCAGTGTAGAGTCTGCAAGGAGGCTACAGACAAGGTATTCTAGTTGTGTGACTCTGAACCAGAGGAGATGCTTCCAGTGTGGCTTACTCATGGGCCTGGACTCAGTTCTTCGTTTATGACCACATGGGCTCCTCTACAGAGATGCTTAGCTGCCAGAGCAAGTGACAGAGGATGAACCAGTACAAGCTCAGAGACCGTTTATTTTATAAGGGAGCCTCAAGCGTTACATGATGGCACATGGCCTTTTCCCATAAGTCCAATGGGACCCAATAGTATTGGAAAAAAGTTAGGAATCACTGAAAGACAGCTTGGATGTTTGCAGCCACACTCTGACCTGGATCCTCAATGATTGCTCTTCCTGAGTGTTAAATACACATAGTTCCTTTCAACCCTGATTCAGTGTTGGGGGAGGGCTGTACAAACAAACACATGGATGAATACTGGAAGTGGGGAGTTATGGGCACATGTTGGAGAATGGCTTCACACATTTATTCTAGCGTTGACCTTGCGATATCTGTTGTAGAACTCATAGGTGTGTATTGGAGATTACCACTGTGCCACTGCAGTTAGGAAAAAAATCAAAGTTTTAGATACTCTAATAAAAGTGGGATTTTTGTGTAGATCTGAGACCTAAGCCTGTTTCTTCATGTTCTACATTACAAAAGGATGGATATCCCTGGATTGTATTAAGTATAAAGAGCAGTTCCCTACAGCAAATCCATTTCATGTCTTAGTTCTTGGGTGTTCATGTTCGACAAGCATTACAATCCATGTCCTTTCTGATAAACATAAAAATGTCATGCCTTCCATTTGTGTGTGGCGGGGGGGTTGTTTGTTTTTTGTTTTTGGCAGTCATGGGGCTTGAACTCTGAACCTGGGCTCTGTCCCTGAGCTCTTCAACTCAAGATGAGCACTCTGCCACTTGAGCCACAGCATCACTTCCAGTTTTCTGGTGGTTATTTGGATATGAGTCCCATGGACTTTCCTGCCTGGGCTGGCTTTGACCTGTAATCCTCAGATCTCAGCCTCCTGAGTAACTAGAATTACAAGTGTGAGCAATCGGAGCCTGGCTCCTTTCATGTTACTCTAAAATATAAATATAAACAAGAGTAAATCAAATAACGATTTCTAAAGAAAACAGCTCCTTATTGTGATAAAGAGTGCTTCTTAACTATTGCAGAGACTACAGGCCGAAAGACCAAACACCTAGAGCTACCAGAGAAGCAGCATTTCAGTTGGAAGAGCGTTGTCTGGACATCAGAGACAAGTTCAGTGTGCTGAACCCTAATAAAAGAGGATCACCACAAAGAGCCCTGTGAAGGTAGTGTGTATAATGAACAAGACCCTTGTTTCCAACTAATTGATTTTTTTTTCATTCTTGCTCAAGCTCTGGCAAGAGTACTGAACCTTCTTAAAAATGAGACAAGCCAGATGCTGGTGGCTCATACCCGTAATTCTACCTACTTGGGAGGTCTGAGATCTGAAGATCGTGGTTTAAAGCCAGGCCAGGGGCTGGGAAGGTGGCTCAGTGATAGAGTGCTTGCCTTGCATGCATGAGGCCCTGGGTTTGTTTCCTCAGCACCACAAAAACAGAAAAAGCCAGAATTGGGGCTGATACTCAAGTGGTAGAGCGCTAGCCTTCAGCTGAAGAGCTGAGGGACAGCACCCAGGCCCCATGACCGACCAAAAAAAAAAAAAAAAAAAAAGCCAGGCGAGGCAGGAAAATTGTGACGGACTCATCTCTAATTAACGACCCCGAAAACTGCCAGAAGTGGAGGTGTAGCTCAAGTGGTAGAGTTGGTAGAGTACTAGCCTTTGGTTAAAAAGCTCAGAGACCAAGCCTAGCCTTTGAGTTCAAGCCCCAGGTCCAACACCAGGAAAAAAAAAAAATCAGGCACTGTGGTTCCTACCTATAATTTCAACTATTTAAGAAGCAGAGAAAAGGGGAAAAAAAATTGCAGATATTGGGAGGATTGTGATTTAAAGCTAGACCAGACAAAAGATCCCATCTCAATCAAAAACTGAGTGCAGTAGTGCACACTTGCCATCCTTGCTAGTTAGAAGGCATAAATAGGATCGTGATCCAGGCCAAGCAAAAAGGTGAGACTCTTAAAAAAATAACAAAAGCAAAAGAGATAGGGATGTGGCTCAACTTGCAGAGCACCTGCCTAGCAAGTTGAAGGCCAAGTTCAAACCTGAGTACCACCAAGAAAAAGCCAAACTAACCAATCAAACAAAAACACATACAACTATCAGTGGCTCACGAATCTCCAATTAAGAATTTGACTTAAGGGGCTGGGAAGGTGGCTCAGTGGTAGAGCACTTGCTTTGCATGCCTGAGGCCCTGGGTTCGATTCCTCAGCACCACATAAGCAAAAAGAAAAAAGCCGGAAGTGGCGCTGTGGCTCAAGTGGTAGAGCGCTAGCCTTGAGCTGAAGAGCTGAGGGACAGCGCCCAGGCCCAGAGTTCAGGCCCCACGACCGGACCAAAAAAAAAAAAAAAAAAGAATTTGACTTAAGTTAGCTGCCAGTGTTCAGGCCTGTAATTCTAGTTACTCAGGAGGCTGAGATCTGAGAATTGCAGTTCAAAGCCAGCCTGGGCAGAAAAGTCTGAGATCTCCAATTACCACCACCAAAAAAAAAGAAAAAAAAATGGAGCTGTGATGCAAGTGGTAGAGTATTAGCCTTGAACAAAATGCTCAGTCAGCACCCAAGTCCTTAATTCAAGCCCTGGGGCATGTACCAAAACAAGGAAAAAGATTTAAAAAAAAAAAAAAAGAATTGTACTAGCTGGATGCTGGTGGCTCATGCCTACAAACCAAGATACTTAGGCTGAAAATGGAAGGACTGAGTCAAGGCCAGCCTGGACCAAAAAGATGGTTATGAGACCCTATCTTGGTAATAACCAGCAAAATGTCAGGTCCACCAGACACTGGTAGCTCACACCTGCAATCCTAGCTACACAGGAGGCTGAAATCTGAGGCTTATGGTTCAAATCCAGATCAAGCAGAGAAGTCCATGAGCCTAAACTCTATAGTTTGTATGTATAGCAACACTTTAAAATATCTGGCCCTGACTACAGATAGAATGGATGGAAATCCCAAATCCTTTGGGATTTTTTCTACTGTAAATTTCCCACTTAGTCTGTACTTATTCTGACCAGGAAAAAGAAAGCATTTCTCTAAGACTTGGTTATGGACTAGTTCCTAGGTTAGGGAATGAATAACCATACTACTAAGTATCAGAGTTCTTCTAAAGGTAGTAAATTAATGGCCAGTTTCCTGTCATCCCACTACACATGCATCTCTTCGATGTGATTTTTGCCTCTTCCCATCAAAAGGTGGAGCTGTTCTCTACTCCCTAAAATAGCCAACTTGGCTATGACTTCCTCTTAAGCATAAGATGGGGTAGAAATAATGCTACACAGTTCCTGCTCTTGGACTTTCAGATCTCTAAGCCTGTGCCATGTAAGAAAACTAGAGTAGCTTCCTATGGAACTGAGATGGAACTTCTTGCTGGCTGGCACCAGCTGCAGACACATGACTAAAGCCATCATGGGCTTTCCAACCTAGTTCTGTCTCCAGCTAAGGGAAGTTACAAGCCAGGAAAGTAACTAACCAATCTAATCATGACAAATAAACCATCATCACTCTATGTCATTCAGTGTGGGGGTGCCTTGTACAAATAACAGTTAACACTCAATTATGTTCCTGGAACAACACAGGAAAATATAGAACTCTTAATAGTGCTTGATTTTGAAGACTTTAAAGCCATAGCTGGGAAAACAGGTGTCTATCATCACACCTGGTTTATTGTAATGGCATCTTTTAAATTTTTTTGCCTTGAAATGCATTCCTTTGGATCTCCACCTTTTGATGAATGCAAGCAAAAAAAAAAAAAAAAAAAAAAAAAAAACAAAAACCCTCTTAGCTCTATTTACTGTGTGAATTATCCTGCCTTCCCTTATCTTAGAAAATTTACAAACCTACAAAAGTCACAATAAAAAAATTGCATGAAATTTTATCAATAGTTTAGTAAAAAGGGAGTCACATAAGTTTTAGGGGCTTGAGATAACAGGTTTAGTGGTACAGCACTTGCCACATATATGCAAGTACTGGGTTTAATCCCCAGGGATTTTAATAACTGTAAATAAAACATAATTTTCAAATCAATGCACAAGTAAAACACAGACGACACATTACAGTTATGCTCATATATCTCCTCTGCTCTTACTCAGCTTTCTTGCTCACAGCTGGCATTCTACTATAAGCCAAGCCTCCAGTCCCAAAACACACTTCTTAAATGTTTAAGCTAAAAATCCCATACACAATATAAGTAAATGTATATCTTACACATTTAAAGAAAAACAGGGATTTTTCCATAATCAAAACTTTATTGAAAAACAGACACCAAAATAGGAAATCATTGTTATGTACCTTACAAAATCAAACATAATTATATTATCTTGGTAGAGTCACTGAACTTCTGGTAAGGCTTTCTGTGAGGAAATGTAAATTCAGAAAGTTGTATAGATCATTAGTGTTGCTTTCTTCTAAAGGAACAACCTGTAAAAGAATCATGAGTATGTAGTGAACAAGTTTATTACACTTTTGGTGTTATTTTAGTAGCAGTAAGTACTTCTTTAAGTAAAAAGTTAAGTTTAGGGAATATTCAGTTAACATATACAAATTATATATTCTTTTATATCATAAAATCTGCTATAATGTTATATGAGTTATATTTCAATAGGAGCAAAATTGACACTATAGTTTTAGTCATGATAGAAAGAAACAATTTACTACCATGAACCTGAAAATTCAAT